TTCTGACCATGAACATACCAGAAGTCATGTGTGGAAACTGAGTACTAGAAAGACGAGGGTGCTCATTGAGAAGGAGTCTGTGTGCTGAGAAGCAGAGTTTGCTTAGATCTCTGTTTCCAAAGGTGATCATAGGAGCTGTGGGTCTCTTGCTGTGCTCTGAAAACAGAGTGCAAATGTCCAACCAAAGAACTGCCACCACCGACAGACATGGCGCCTCACATTTGGGTTACTCTGGCCCAGGCTTCGAGCACTCAGCAAGAAAAATGTCAGAAAAATCTTTTGCAACATGATAGAAACACTTAATTGGGGAGTGATTGCAGCCTGGAAGGCGTGGGGGGGGGGAATGACTTTACTGAACAGTGTGTGTTTGCTCTTAAAAGCCCTTAAAAGCTCTGAAGCTCAAGCTTGCTTGATTTACTGTATTTGCCATATATAATATTTCAGTGAGAAGTTTCAATTCAGTGTGGATGAGTTGATGCAGGAGTTGTTCCCTTTTAGGTGATAAGGAACCAGTTATTCATGTGTAATGCACTGGTTTGCTTGTTAGACAGTTTTGTTGGGGTTTTGGGGTTTTTTTGAGTTTCTTTTAAATCAGTGTATTCCACACCTCTGGGCAGTGCATGCATCCTTCTCTAGGGCAATGCACAGGTCCCAATTTGTCGTATAATTTAAGCGCAGACTTGTCTCTCTTGCTGAAGTGCAGTCTTTATGCCGGAGCATTTATTTTACAAAACATTTTGTAATTCCCTGTTCACCTTTAATGCAGCATCACAGGTACCCCAGAATTTGTGTCTGTGTCTGCTCCTGGAACAGAGTTCCTCATTGTGCCCCCTAAGTATAGTAAGAGTATAAATTGATCCTTTTAGTTTGTTTTCTCTAGGTTCCCGTGTGTGTACAAATTGCTGCTCCAGGATGGATGGTTTGCCTTTTTTTTATGCTTGCAGTGCTTTTGCAGTTGGGCACCTCTTGCCTGCTAAGCTGTGGCAGTGCATGTTCTTTCAAAAGGTGTGTATCCTCCCCTTTTTCCATGCCATCTTCCAGGAAGCATTGTCTACCCAGAGCGATGTTATCTTCCCCCATTTTAAATGGTGTCAGCAGATATTTATTTTTTCCCTTCTCCTATCCCCATGCTAAGTACCCAGCATGGGAATGAGTCGTCTTGTATTACTCACATGGAGCAAATCTGTGGCTTGGCCTCCAAATTATATGGCCCTGCTCAGCAAGGGTGAGGTCTTCCAGAGCCCAAGCAAGGGTACCAGCGTCTTCGCCTGCCTTTTTTTTTTTTTACTTTTTGTAGAACACGTAGGCTGATAGTGAGCTGAAAAACCGGTGGCCTTCAGAGCTGGGTATTTTATGTCTGAGGGCTTCTGAATGCATAAAATCAGAGAGAATGTGTCTGTGTAATCCGATCTGCTCTTGAAAGCCTTGCGGAGGGCTGCATGCTGCAGACATAAGCTGTGTCAATAAGAACTCTATTCACCCTCAGAAAACAGCCTCGTGATCGGGTTTGACTGGCAGGCTTCCTAAGGGAGGGCCTTTTTTTGAGAAAGAGCTCAGATTTTTTGGCGGCACTTCTGACTGCCTTTTTGGACTCCCACTTATTGTTCTTTCCTTGGCATGATAAACTTGGATTTTCTTGCTGGGAAGTTGCTGGGGCAGAGAGAGGACTTCGTGCAGCACAATAACGGGGGTGCGAGGGGAGTTTCCTTCCTCATAGTGCAACCCCTCTGCCAAAGCATTTAGGAGCATGAAGGTGATGGATTTAAAAGAATATGAGGTAGGACTGGAGGTCGTTGCGTGCAGGAGAGCGTACTCCTGGGCATGCACAGGGTACTTACAAGGACAGGTATTTTGTGCCACTGTTTTGCAAGTAAAAGTCTTGGATGATAATGCACAAAATGTGTGGTTGTGCATGTTTATATGCTTTTTTCCCTCGGTTCTGCAGATGTCTGTATTACCCAGAATTGTTGGGCGAAATTCTGCTTTCGGTAATGCTGGCATAAATCTGCTGTGAAGGCAGTCTTGTACTAATGGCTGTAATTTGCTGGTTACTATTATTTTTTTAAAAAAAATCACGTGAGTTAAAAATCTTATTATGCTTTATGAAGTATTCTACACCTAGCATGTAATCTTTTAAAATCTTGTAGGAAAAATCTGCTTGAGCTAGTAAAAATGATGTTTGTAAGATTTTCTGCAAGTAGAGTTTTAATCAAAATATCAGGTTCTGAGCTACTGCTTAGTGTGTAGCATTT